GCAGGCGGACTCTTAAACATGGTGCCACCAGGGAAGTCCGACATCCTTTATTCTTTTAAAAACTGGTTTGTCTTTTTATTATCGAGTTGTAAGGTTCTTTATATAGTTTAGATACTAGACCCTTACCAGATATATGATTTGCAAACATTTTCTCTCATGCTGTGGACTGTCTTTCCACTTTCTTGATAATGTCGTTTGACACGAAAAGGTTTTTAATTTTGATGAAGTCAAAAATAATGAGTTTTGAGATGCTTTAAAAGTTTAGTTTGCAAAACAGTATTAAAAGCCTGCATCTTGTTTCTTTAAACACAAACACACACATCACAGTACTGCCATAAAACTGTTCACTCTCTTTGTCAGAGCTGGGTTAGGGTACAGGCACACTACCCTGTTCGAGTCTGGCAAGCTAAGATCCCACTGAAGACAGCAAAAGAGTACATATGATCCAAGGACACACGTTGGTGGGTGACAAAGCCAAGGCTTCAGCCTAGGTCTTCCAACCTCAAAACAGATGCTCTTTCCACTACTACATTAGCTAGCACATGGTCTGCTCCAGTAGGAGAGGCAATGTACTAAGTAAGGTAAGAGTACTGGATTAAGAGCTGGGAAGCCAGGTTCTGGAATTGTAACTAACTCGCTGTGTGCTCTTGGACAAGTTGCTTCATCTTCCCCTCTCCAACTGTGTCCATCTCTATAAAATGAGGAGGCTGAACACATGAACTTCAAGGTCTCTTCATTATCAACATTTTCGAGAAATCACTATTGATTAAGCAGAATAGTTAAAAACCAAACAAGAAAAAAACCCCTTAGTTCTCAACCTGGATGTGACTGTTAAACTGTAGAGGAAATAAATAAATAAACAGCTATGTGTGAAAACATGCAGCTGTCCAGGCCCCACCCCCAGAGAATCTGATTCAGGTCTGGGATGAGGTCCAGAAATCTGTATTTTTAACTAAAACCCCAAGAAAGTCTGATGTAGACAGTCTTCATATGTTATAAAAAATATTATCTAAGGAAGCTGAAATCCAGAGTAACAAGCTAGTTAGTGGCAGCTATACATGTTTTGCTGAGTGCTTACTATGTGCCAGGAACCACTTTTTAAGGTAAATACTATTATTATCCCCAATTTACAGATGAGGAAAGTGAGATACAAAGAGATTTATTAACTTGCCCAAGAACATATATCTGTTAAGTGGCAGAGCAAGGATTCAAAGCCAGCCAGCCAGCCTGGTTCCAGAACCTATGTTCTCAGCTACTAAGGTATAAAAGGGGTACTTTAAGATCAGGTTGACAGTTAAGGCAGGAGACAGAAATCCACATAGGAGTTAAAAGGGCCTGGACATAACTTCTAGAAAGCATGGTTTAATACCACATGTCAATTTTAATAGCCAAAACAATTTTAATAGCCAAAAAAAATCCAGCCAGGAGACAGAAATCCAACTATGAGGTTAAAAGAATTTGGATATAGTTCTGGAAAGCATGCTTTAATGCCACATGTCAATTTTAATAGCCAAAACAAATTAAGCAAACAATTTTTATAGCCTGCTACATAGAACAAAATGCTTTGAAGTATTTTGGGAAAAATAACTTACTGCAATGATCTAAGTTATTCTGTGATGGAAGCTGGAAGGTTATATTTGCATACCTATCTTTAAGATCAGGAAACTAAAATTGCTTTGTTCTCAGTTTCACAGAAGCAGAAACTCACATCTGCTTAGGGAAAACTAGAAGCACATTTGCATCTCTTTATTACATTTCTTCAGGGCAAGTAAAACCAAACCTGCAAGAAATAAAATCCCTCCAAAAAATCAAGACAACCAAATTAAAGAAACTGTAAGGTAACAGCCTCTCATTCCCACAGAGTGAAAGCTTCTCTATTCATTCAGCTCCTGCTCCACAGAGAGTAACATCTTTTCCCCATTTTCTCTTCCACAGTATCCTCAGTTTTCAAACAAATAGAGGCATCATCCTCTAAGGCAGTTTCTGAAGACTGGGGTGGTGGATCTGAAGTTTTTTCTCTGCTAAATTCAATGCTCCAAGTATTTATTCTGTGTTGATCACTATAGAGAACGTCTCATGGGAAAGTGGACAAATTGGTAGAACAATATAAAACAGTATGTCATATTAAGTGACAGCTGAATTCCCATGTGCAATAAATGCCAGAGACTTCAGAGGAAAAACAACTCAATGTAAGGCTGAAATGAAGTTCTCCAAGAAAAAGCACCTAAACAGCTCCTGACTTTCTCTCTCCCCGGCCCCTCACTTCTCAGTTAATTCTGCCAAGTGCTCCTTTCTGAGGCCTTTTATCTATCTCTGCTACTCAAGTTAGGGTTCTCCTCACCTTATCATTCTATTTTTATAGCCCTGAACAAAGAACATTTACCAATATTATGACTTAATATTTACAACAAGCCTACCATATGTATAGGCATCCACAATGTACACATAAGGAAATTTAAGTTCAGTGATATGATAACTTATCCAAGACCATGTAGTTTTTAACATGCTGCACTAGAACTCAAACTTGTCTTTCTTTTTATATTAAACCCCATATACTAGTATGGTATGAGGCCTTATTAGAAGACTTCTAATTTCTACCACTCCGAACTATTTGAATAACTTTTCTAAAACCACTTTATATATTAGGCTCAAAAACCTTCAACAGACTTCCTTCCTACTTCTACTTCAAGCAGTCCATGCCCTTCTTCATCTGATTCTACCTATTTGTCATTACAGGTCTCTTACAGCAGCGGTGCCCAACCTTTTTGGCACCAGGGACCAGTTTCATGGAAGACAATTCTTCCACAGACTGGGGTGGGTGAACGGGGATGGTTCAGGCAGTAATGCGAGCGATGGGGAGTGACAGATGAAGCCTTGCTCGCTGGCACCCCATTCACCTCCTGCTGTGCGGCCCGGTTCCTAACAGGAACTGGGGGTTGGGGACCCCTGTCTTAGAGAACAGTCAGTCAACTCAGTACCTGAGAAACATCAGGCATCGTGTACCTTTGTTCAAGGACATTCTTAACTGGTATGCCGTCTGTCTGTGTCTCTCTCTCAAAATAAGGTCCCAGTTCCATTCTCAAACATGAGGTCTTTCCC